TGGTCAGAGGGATGCCGTTCCAAGCTGTCGTGCCTCTGAAAAGAAAGAACCCTCACCCGTTCCAGTCCGGACAAGTAGCAAATGAAGCTCTCGTCAGTAACAGCGTTGCTAGTTGAGTTGGCTTTCAATAACCATGCGATGATACTTGTGTACGCATTCTCGATGCTCAATGAGCCTGCCCAAGTAGGCATTGCCAGAATTTCACGTTGACCGTGGCCGAGCCCCAGACGGACAGACGGACAGATGGCGTCCCCAGACGGGCAGACTGAACGGGCAGCAACAGAATGCCCAGCACGACCTCAGGTGGCGCTTGCAACATTTGTTTGATGGGCGGTGGGCTGCCCACGGCCTTTCTGGACACCAGCTGAGCAAATGTTGGTAAACATGAGGGTTCCGGTGTGGCCCGAGCAGACGCTAGGCTCTAGTTACCTGGGATATCTGGGATATCTGGGATATCGGCCCGGCTTGGCAGGCGGTGGGCGTCAGCTGGGGTCCTGCCTGGCTCCATCTGGTAAAAACGCTGCACACCAGCTGGGCATAAGCCCGTGCCAGGGATGAGCCCAGCAAAAAAAAACCTTGTGCAGCAGGGCGGAGTACATGGAGTGTGCAGTGCACCGCTAAATACTAGGCTGAGACTGGGAATGTCAGACCTGAATGCCCACCTGTTCGAAATTCAAAATTAAACTACACCGAGTCCCTCTTGCTTATGTGGCTATCCATATGAAGACCCTAAACACGTTGCACTGAGCTATCTTCGCTATTATGAAATCCGAATTTCATTGCTACGTAAAACAGATCGTATCATTCCGAACTTTGCTGAGCTCGCTCACAATGGGTAACTAAATATCTATCTCACAGGAAACGGTTTACAGGATCGCAATGGGCAGCACACAAGAAAAATTTTCCAAGCATTGCTTTTTCAGAAACGATTCGCCTAAAAACTTCCAGCGGACGCGGGCAGCAGACGGGCCACCGGGTGGCGTTGCCGGGCCGGGCGTCCGCCGCCGGCCCGAGACGGCAGTATGTGTACACTGGAGTGGCGGCGGGCGCCTGGCCCGCGTCGGCTTGCGGATCGAGTGAGTGGGCGGTGTGTCGGGGTTCCCTGGCGGCGATTACCATATATGGTTATTGTTAGGAGAGGCGCTCAGATTGAAGTGTTCCGCTTATGCGCCAATCAGCTCATCATATCATGTACTGCTTAGTGTCCATAGTCGAAAATATACATCAAATCAAATCAGATCCCACGCTAAGTACAGGTCGTTTGAAGTGAGAAGTTGCCCTCAAGTACTGCGTTGTTTCAATCTGGACATATCTTCCGCCTTAAATCTGCTTAGAAAACGGTCGGAACCCAAATTACCAATGTATTCTGTTCCCTGAAAAGGTCACACATTACAGGAAAACGCATCCAATGTTTTGTCAACTTTGGAAAGCATTTCACTTTGATCAAGAGAGTAACCCTGACATTCTGCTTTCCATTCTAAACATAAAAGTCCATTATCCCCGTTTCCAATTAATGATCATGACGTTCGATGTTGCATTTGCTAACAATGCCATTGTTTGGTATTGTCTTCACGGACCTGGCTGGCAGATCAGTGAAAACCAGCTCCCCTGACGCACCAGATACCCCACTCGCCAAATAATTTTCGGCACAGTCTGATGTCAATGGAGCCATGCAGTCCCATCACACGGACGAGGCACCTCTCCCCCCCCCCCCCCCCCGGTCCCGTGACTTGGAGCCATTTGGAGGTGGCAGCGTCGATCTCTTTTACAGCTGCCGTTATGGTTGCGGGGTCTCCTTAACGCCGGCATTGAACAACAAAAAAGCAATAGCCCATGGATGCTTAGTTAATGCATCATCGCCCCTCTAAACTATGCCTGAAACCAAGCACTTTTTGCACTAAACACCTTTACACCCAAGAAGTAACCGAACTCAGCGGTAATATGTGTTAAGTATTTTAGCAAGAAAGTACAGGATGGGAGCTCTTCCAAACACTGACAGGAGACGTCATTCGCATTCATAATATCATCACAAATAAAGGAAATAGTAATAAAAAAACTACTTTCTCATATTGGATCGCAACCACACAAGAAAGTGAAAAAACAAAATCGTCATATTTAGTTACGCCTGCTAAGTTACCACGAGTAATGTGTCAAGTAAATATGCTATTAAATCACTTTTGGCACTGTTTGAGAGGCATGCCCGTCAAAAATCGTTCATGGATGGAACAAATATTGCTCATCACAGTGGCTGGACAGTGCTGTTTCATGGACAATTCAAATGCCTGGGAGCGGACGTAGTCTTCGGTGTTGGGGATGTGTGGTTTTATTTGGCATGATGAAGTCCGCTTAGTCAAGTATTACTGTAAATACCGCGCTGAAAAATAAATACACATCCTATTCACCAAATGTGAGTGATGAAGCTAAGCGAACATGTTCAAGCTTGAAACACAGCATGCATGGAACAAACAACAGCATGAAATATACCATGAGACGCACAACCGCTGCGTTTGTTGCTTGACTTTCGTCGCCGCTGCAAAACACCGAAGCTCCCCACAGCTCGAGGCCTGACTGGACCGACGTCGCCAGCCGTACCTCTCAACGGTTGGTGCGGGGGCCAATCCTGTTCATTATTTTCGTCATGGAGGCCCATGCTTTATTGCAGACGGGACGTGGTTTCAAGGTCAACCAGATGCTGACATGGATGTAATGCCACCACAGGGGACGGTCCCCGAGCGGTGACACATGACTGATAAGCCCCTGCCCGTCGCGCGGTCCCCAGCCACGTCGCCCAGCGACAGCCCCGACTGTGTCAGGGGCGGCACATGACCTGGTTCTGCCCACCACATTCAGTAGTGTAGCGTTACAACGGGGGGTGCTCACTGTTGGTAACACCGAATCCAACTTTTGCACCGCTGTCAAAATAACATATATAGTATATTTCGATAGACCTGACCGCAAAGGACATGTTTCGCTCATCATCCAGATTTTCGCGCATTTCAGATTTGGTACCAAATTAGACCCCTGTCCAATAATGCTAGTGTGAAAAGAGCTTGCGTTCCTTGTCATGTCGACTCGGTCATATGTCATGCCAGTTTGCAAATTCTGGGAGACTTTTCGAAGCATAATATTGAAATGTGGACAATAAATATATTGCAACATCACGTAGCTGTTTAAAATTGTAGACAGAGCTGTAAAGTTAAATTCGTTAAATTCGACGTCGCCAGCAGTACTCCTCAAGGATAGCTGCTGGGGCCAGTTGTATTCGATGATCAAAAGAATTATCGGTCAGACTGCCTCACACGCAACGGTGAACTGCCGCACACGGCGCCGACAGGGAGAGACTCAACCTACGCGCCCGAGCAGCACCTCTTATACTCCTTCCAAGACTCATACCCGCAACACGATCTGCGTGCGACTGGCCGGCGCCACCGTGACGCACCCCTGTCGGCGTGCCTACGGGGTAACGCACCTCCCCGAGCCGTGACTGTTCTCCTCACGCAGACATGAATCATCGTCCCACTCGGCTTACATGTTGACGCACTGTCTCCAGGCATGGTACACCGCTACACCAATCCTGTTCGTTTTTTTCGTCAACCGTTTACCAGAAGTGCGAGGCACGGTCAAAATGTTCGCGCGTGATACTAAGGTGCACTGTCGTAATCTGAGACCCCTGGCCGCCTTTCTCCTCCATGGTGACTTCGGTCACCTGGTCAGTTGGTTGGTAGAGTTCCATTGCTCCCAGTTAACGCATCCAAACGTAAAGTAATGCACATCAGCACTTGCATCCTGCGACTGACCTTCTCCCTAATCTGCGCCGAAATTCCAGCTGTGCCCACTGAAAAGTACACTGAAATTTTCGTGGAGGCTCATGCAGGCTCATGCTTCACGTGCAGACGAGAGATGGTTTCTAAGGGTAACCCTATTCTGACAGTCGTAAGACTGCCATTCGCCAACACTGACGTTTTCACGCTGCCAC